CGAACTGCTGACCTTAAGGTTCACAGCCCGATTCATAACCACTACACTACCAGAGCTCCTTAAAATGGGGCTAGAATTTGCTCAGTGAAGGAGGCTTCCTGCGGAGCCTCTGCATTACATAAGACCATAGGTGGAATCCTGAACCCCATCCAGAATCTTCTGAGGTGGGAAATTTCCACTGGAAAGGACAAGTAGACCAGCCTGAAGCAGCACGAAGAACAGAAGATATTTCTTGAAAGAAAGACCAACAGGAAAAACAGAAAACAACAACAGAAATCCAACTGATTACCACAAGAACAAACAAGTTGCGTGCCCAGGAGACATCAAGGCAAGTGGTTGTGTCCTCCTTAGGGCAAAGCCCCTTCCAAGACTGAGTCTCAATGGGAATACAGGAACAGATATGTGCTCTGACTGGTGACTATGTTGGTCACCGATAAAGGGAAGTGAGGGAAAAACAGCAATGAAGCTGCAAGCTAAGTCCAACCATGTTCAATACACTCCTGTGAACCTGGGTGGCCAGCAGTTTGGCAAGCAGTTTGGCCAATAGTTTGGCAAGTCCTGGGGACTCCTGGGCCCAGAGTCAGTGACATAGCCACAGAGGACCAGAGTGGAGAATGAAGTGTCCAGCTGATAAGAAGAGAGGGCATATGCACAAGAACACCCACACTTACAGACAATACCCAGTTGACCTGGTTCAATGATTGGATGATCAGAGCTCAACTAGAAGAAGAAAGAAGAGGGAAAAACGTGTAATCTGATAAAATTTGATGACCTTGACCTACACTTATGGATCCAGTAGCTCAAAAGAGGGAACAAATCTTTACAGTGAGGATCATTCCCATCCCCTCAATACACAGGGTAGACAGGGATGGGCAACTTGGGCATTGGCTACCCAAATGGGGGGGGCTACAAAGGCAAGAAGTGACTGACTTACTAGCTTCCAAGAGGGAGCCTAGATCCAGAGGATGTGGAGTAAGGTAGAATCTCCAACGAGTAGTATCCAATTTGTCTGGGTGGGACTGATGAAAGGAACTGTGGCTAGAACTCATGTGGTACAATAGTGAATAATTACTATCAGGACTGACTATGAGGGTTGGAAATGTAAAGGTAGACATTTTGTCGCAAAAGGAGGGGAGTGGTTGACTTTGCAATCCAGGAGCTGTGGCCCCTGGGACCATCCAGGGAGAAAAGAGGAGTGCAAGACTCTACCCAGAGAAACAGTGATAACAGTGATGCCAGTGATGGAGGCAGAGACGATGACATGGAGAGATGGAGCAGCTGGGAACTCTGGACCCAGAGAGTGAGAGGGGCTGTGTGCTGACGATTAGGGGGCAGACTTGTGGGGTGTACCCTTTGGTTGGTTGATGATGCATGGAGGGGATTGTAACCATTGCAATGAAACGATATATGATAGGATGTTTGTAAAACTAATGTTCTCCCATGTAAACTATCACATAATTCACAATAAAACATTTAAAAAAACAAAAACAAAAAACAGCTGGTGGGTCTGAACTACTGACCTTGTGGTCAGCAGCCCAACCTTATGGTTAGCAGCCTATTGCACTACCAGAAAGGGTCAATAACTTGCCCACGGTCACTGGGCACTCGTGAGACCAGGACTGTATGACTTAGTCTATGTTTTCTCTGTTACTGTCTATGATATTTACCAGTTAGGAAATGACAAAGATTTGAAACCTAGGACTTCTAACCTCAAATGTTCTCTTCTCTGTGCAGCATTCTCTGATCATCACTGTCTCCTACTCTATACCATCACTGTCTCTAACCCCATGCAAGTGAACTCCCACTACTAAATCAATTATTGAATTCTTTTATTGTATTTTTTGCTTATTCAGTTCAATTCATACAACTTTGGGTGCTGGAAGGGCTGGAACAACATTTAGCTGGAATAATATTCTTATTCATTAGATTTTTGGTTCAAAACTAGTAGGCACAATAAATGCTCGATAAATGAATATAAATGAAAAAATAATATCCAGTGTTTTCTTAGAATGTGTCTGAGAATTACAAGTATACTATATATTCATTTTAGACAATTAGAGAAGTTAGATTAAACTGTCATTCTTGGCATTTAGAAATGCTTCTAAAAAAAATCTGAAGCAAGGACAGAGAAATTATGAATATGATTAAGGCCAAATTGTGATAATATAGGACTCTGACAGTATATGTGAAAACCTGTATAATCTATATAACAGAAAGTTTTAGGTATCTAAGCCTATATATTCTCTGCACATAATATGCAGTGTAATCTGTGACATTCATTCTTTCTGTATTTCCAGTCCTTAGTAGAGGAAGAGAAAAATGCAAACAGCCCTTGTGTAGTATCTTTAACCTACTGAAAAGCAAAGCCACTTTTGTGTTTAAGATTGGAGAACATGTAGTATGATAAAGGAGGTGTGTGGCGATACTTCAGACTCATCAGCACTGTGAAATGTTAAGATGTCTATGCCCTCAACTGCTTTACTGGGATATATAAATACAGCATCCCTCTGCAACTTTTCATAAGCCAAAATGGCATGAAGTGAAGAAGCTAATTAATTTATATGGGAAAAATGTTTGAGCTTTGGAAGACCGAAAAATCAACCTACCAAATCGTTATCAAATACCACATAAAACCTAAATTAATGCTAACTTATAGTGTTCACAGACACTATTCAAAGCTACGGCAGCTTGATGATAAGATGCTTAGTATGGTTCCGGGGGCAGGAGTTTGGTGACAGCACTGTAGCTGTTGATAGTGTGTGTGGCCTCTTTAATGGCTCACTGCAAAACAAACACGGAATGCTAGTTTCACCTTTCTCCTTTTTTTATTAAATGAAAAAAAACATCCTCTCTGAATTTCTTCCACTTATTGAAAACAGGTCTTTTGTAAAAAGTGAAGTGGTATAAAGTCAACTGTTGAAAAGTAGGGCATACCTGTATATGTTTTTAGGTCTTTGTTTTCTCTTCTCCTCCCACCTGCTTTCTAAGGTGTCTGCACTCCTTTCTCTATTGCCACATTGTACGGAGCTACTCCTGATGTGGAACTATAGTATCAGCACTGGACTACTAACCACAAGTTCAGCAGTTCAAATCACCAGCTGCTCCTTAGAAACCCTATACAAGGTCGCTATACGTAGGAACCTAATCAAGGGTACTTAACAACAAACAACATTGCTATAGTAAGAAAGTGAGTCCAGAGGCACTTCCTAGCCAGCACAGCTGAGCAGATGCTCAGATATTCAGAAACATAGAGTTCCCCACTCTTAGCAAGGCTCTGAAAGATTAAGCTAGTTTCCAAATACCTGTATCTTTCTTCCAGTTCATGCAGCATTCAGACACTAATGACCATCTTTGTTTTGTAAGGAAAAGCAAGTCAAAATCTGATTCAAAACTGTTAGAAGGTAAGAGGCAAAAGCCTGCTTAACAAAATGATCCACTCATAATTAGAGAAAAGTGAATAGTTTTAAAAAAAAAGAAGAGGAAAAACAAAGCAAAAACCTTGGCATTCTCTTTAAATCATGTTAACAGGAATCTGATATTTGCATAATTCTTGGGATTCAGCTTCATGCTTTTACTTTTAGTTATGAGAAATTACTATGAACTAGTATCAGTAGTTCATTAGGAACGTTGAATTTGTCCACACCAATGAATATTAACCTAGTCAAAATTTTTAACCAGTATCAACTCCCTTCTCCAGAGTAAAACATCAATAGTATCTTTTATACATTATTCTAAGCTTCAATGAATTAAAACCTTATCCATCACAACTCCCATTGTTTTATTTTTCTCCTTGCTCAGGCCCTTAAAAGAAAGAAATGGATCACAATAAAACAATGATCTGCTGAGATCTACTCAACAAAGCATTTTCCAGTGTGTAGTGGTTACGAATCAGGCTGCGAACCTTAAGGTCAGCGGTTCGAAACTACCAGCCGCTCCGCGGGAGAAAGATGAGACTTTCTACTCCCGTAAAGATTTACACCCTCGGAAACGCTGTACAGGGTCGCTATGGGTCGGACCCGACTCGATGGCACTTAACAACAACAACAACAATACTTGTCTCAAAAGAACTAATTCAATCAAACCTCACACGTCAATTCATCCTTAGGTCTTTCTGACCCTCAGTCAGAAAATTAGATTTTCACTGTAATCTCTAAAAATATTTTGATAAAAACAAAAAAATTAATTTTTTGTCTATTTTAAGCCAAGATGGACACATTGATTGTTATAAATACAGGTACATCATTGACGGATAGGTCAGGGACCTAAAAAAAAATTTTTTTTTTTTAAATCTGAGGCTTAAAGTTCAGGCTTTAAGGAGATCATAAAGTGAGCTGGATTAAGGCCAAGCATCAAACGAGAAATTCCCAGAGGCAGAAATGTCACAGTCAGCTTTACCCTTGGAGCCCATCACCAGCCAGGCCACTTTCTCCCAAGGAAGAGAAGGGGCAGTTGTATCTCTGTATGGCCTGGAATCTATTTTTTGTCATTATGAGTAAAGTAAATCTGATGGAAACTCTATGCTTTTTGAGAAAGTCTCTGATTTCTTTCTCTGAGACACTTCTTCTTGGTGTCAGCTGAAATTAAATCCTACTAAACAGAGGTCAGCTTAACTTTTCAGAAACTACATCCAGAAAGGAAAATTCTGGCCTCCTGATAATAAGATAAATAAACTGGTATAGTAAGTGTCAGGCTGATGGATTTAAAAGCTGGACGACCAACAACTGAAATGTCAGAAAAGCATTCCCTTACCAGTTTTGATATTGATGGCAAAAAAATTCTGAGGGTTTCCACTTGTAATCCTGTATGTCAGTTTTTCATTGGAGCTGGAGTCAGGGTCCTCAGCTTGGATCTGAATGACAGATACATCCTTTGGAGAGTTTTCCACCACAACAGGATAATAAATAGGTTCTGAAGTCAGTGGGGCATTGTCATTTACATCTTCAATTTCAATGAAGACCTCAATAGTGGAATAGAGTGGAACTACACCCCGGTCTGTGGCATACACTGTCAGCCAGTATGAGCCCATTGTCTCTCGATCAAGAATGTCTGCAGTAGTGATGACCCCTAGGAGGAAACAGAGAGAGCAAAAATGAAACGCGTTAAGAAAACGATCCCAAATTTAGAAGGGCTGTCTAAGTAAAGGGAGTCTTGGTGGTGCAGTGGTTAAGTGCTCGGCTGCTAACCAAAAAGGTCAATGCTTCAAACTCACCAGCTACTCCACAGGAGAAAGATGTGGCAGCCAACTTCTGTAAAGATTTATAGTCTTGGAAACACTATTGGGGCAGTTCGGAATTAACTTGATGGCAACTGGTGCTAAGTAATCTTGTTGCTGTTGTTACATGCCATTGATTTGGCTCCAATTCATGGCGACCCTCTATAATGTTCCCAAGGAGCAGCTGGTGGCTTTGAATTGCTGACCTTGTGATTAGCAGTCCAGTGCTTATCCTACAGTGCCACACTTTGTATATTTAAAAAAAAAGAAATCCCCAGTATAAGATTAAATTCAAATGCCAGTTTTTACATTAAAAAATGATTTTCTGTGGGACTGTATTAAATTGTTCTTGTACCATTTGTAACGTATTATTACTTTGATAAATTAGCTTGAATTTGGGAGAATAAACATGTCACAACACACACACTGAGAGAAAACAATACAGAGCAGTTCGTGATCTAGTGGTGAAAACAATTCCCATGTTGCACGGGAAATCTGCAATATTGATCTCAGTTTGACCTAATATTGCATTGATTTCCTCTGCAATAAAAAGTTTTCCCAGGATGTATTAATTTATCTGTTAATTCACAAAATCATTTTTTCAAATGTTCGTTTAGCTGTTCTGCTGAAAACATTTTGCATGCAAAGATCTAAACCTCCTTCATACTGTTTCCCTGTAAATCAAATGACACAATTATCCTATAATCATCAGCAGCAGCCATGCCAACACACTTTCTTAATGAGCTTTATCCTCCTCAAGAACTCAACAGAGGCCTGAAGTAAATTTGGAGCCACTTTGAGAGATGCTTATGGACAATATTTTAAAATAAGAAGCAGAAAAATATCCGCCCTGCCTTTCCCATTTCATGGGTGAAGTGAGTGCCAACCAGGAAATCTAATGTCTTCCAGAAAAGCCAAAGTGAAAACACAGCACTCTTCTATGTCTTTACAGCCCTCACCATAATTATCAAAACTACAGAAACTTAGCAAAGGGACAAAATTATAACCAATGTCCACTATGATGGTATAACTCTGAGTCTTGGGTGATAAAAACTGTATAAGTAATCAAGATGCTCAAAGTGTGGAATTTATGTAAATCCCTATACTCTAAAAGATATCTGGGGAAAAGGACAAAAAATAGTTCTCTAACTCTGTCCTGAATCCTCTGAATTCTTTGTATTCTTGTTGAAGTTTTAACTAAACTTGGCACATAATTTGGCCTATAGTTCATGCATAAGCAAATTATCAAGTATAACAACTGTGACAAGAGTATAACATCTGTTCCTCCCTCCCCCTGAAAAAAAAAAAAAAAGCTGGAATATTCAAAATTGTCTCAAAGTAGAACAGTTCAGATATTTGAGGGGAGATAACTCAAATAGTGTTGAATTTTCAGCTCCAAAGTTATTCAGTAAAAAACTGCAGAGTTATGTTATGAGAAAAAGACAAGGTTAAATATCCATATATCCATACTTCGATATTTAATGATTTTCCTGTGCAACCATGGATAATAGATTATCCAATATGGCGCTAGAAGAGTACATAGATACCAAGAGTACAGAGAAAGAAGAAAAAAGGAAGAGTAAAAAAAAATAATAATAGTTTTAAAACCCATTTTTGTGTGTACATTCACTGAATGAATAAGAAGCTTTAAAAACTGTGTTGAGAGGGTAGAATAGCAACCACATTAAGGTCCAGAGAGGGCTCTGGCCAGGTGTGAGTATCACTAAGAGTCCAGGAAACAGGCTGGTAGTAAACACCAAAACCAGTTTCATGGGACACTCACAGCTATGGCAGCTGGGAGTCACCACACAGTCATGGGTGGTGCTGCCCCCATAAGAATAGGAGCTTTTCTGGTTAGATTACAATTCCACTACATCAGAAGAGGGATGGATGACAAGGAGTAAGCAATCTCTGAAACAAAGACAAAAAGTAGGTTGATTGTGAGCTATGGCGGGATTGATGGGTAGCAAAAAATCCTCAACGGACATCTGAAGATTTTTTTCACCTGAGACCTGGCATTTCGGCTCACAAGCATTTCCTAAATATTCTGCAGGACACTGGAGCAACAGAGATAAATGAAAAAGGATCTTTGTCTTCAAAGAGTTCACAGCTTTGCTGAGAGACAGATTTCTAATGAGAACAGGTACACTGAGGGGATAATTGCACAGCCTTATCTGGTTTAGACTGATATCCTGGAAAGGGCAGGGACTACAGGGCCAGAAGGCAGTGGAAGACATGGGAAATAACAGTTAATAAACATCTATAATTTACTATGAGACTTGCAACACAATCTACCTATAACAGAAACTTGATTATTCTGTCTTATAAATGAGGATTGTTGTTGTTGTTGAGTGCCATTGAGTCGGTTCCAAATCATGGTGACCCTGTATAGAGTTTCTGAGAAGCAGTTCGTGGATTTGAACTGCTGACTTTGTGGTTCTCAGTCCAGTGGTAATCCTACAGCACCACACCAAGTTCCAACTTGCCACCACCTGCCTGACAGTGGAGAACTGTATGCTGCCTTGATGTAGCACAGGTCTCAGTACAGCTGCTAGAATAATACTGACTAGAGAGAAAGGTAGAGAGGGCGGTGGCTCTGGAGGATAAGCACTAGACTTCAAACTACAAGGTTGGTAATTCAAACCTACCAGCTGCTCCATGGGAGGTGAGGTTATCTACTGCAAAGATTTACAATTTCAAAAACTCTATACAGGGTTGCTGGGAGTCAGAACCAACTCAATGACACTTAACAACAGCAACAAGAAAAAAGGTCTGACCTAAAGATTTCCTAATTCTGAAGTTAGCCACTGAAAACCATATCAGTCACAACAATCTGATCCCATTGTGTATGGTGTCACCATGGGTCAGGGCTACTTGAACAGCAACTAACAACAACTTAGACAAGATCCCATAGTTAATTGTAGAACTCAATTCTATCTGTCTTATGTTATAGCTACAAATCCAGGAGAGATTACATAGGACCTGTTTGATTCTGGACACAGTATTCAACCCAAATAAGCTGAGATTTGCTACCTTTCTCTCAGTTTTGCGGTGACAATTAAATGTACACAAAAAGCTTTGCAAAATGCTCCCAACACACTAGATGCTGAATACATATAAAATAATATGTAATTAGTAACCAGACCCCAAAAAGTAAAGGACAATCTTGAGACATGAGAAGTGTGAGATGGATTGTCAATTTAGATGCTTTTCCTTCCCTGGTCATGACACTATTACTAGTCTGTTTTAATTGCCTGTGACATGGGCATTTTCAGGAAAGTACCTGACCTATTCAGGGAACAACAAAGTAAGGTCCCTAAGAAGAGAATATAACCAAAATAACAAAAATAAAAATTACTGAAAATAAAAAGAAGGTTCGGTCAGCCTTGCTTGTCAAGTTTCTGACTACTCATGATGTGCCTGTGTACATGAACACAAATATAGAGATGTGCACTCCAGAATTGCTTTTTGATCCCTGAAAGTCACTTAATTTTCTCTTCTTCCACCTGTCAAACTTGAAGATGATAAATGACAGCCATTGGACATTAAAGGGCTTTTGAGTTGTCATTGAATGAAAGGCATACACGATTACAAATTAAAATATCTGGATGACATTTTACTCTTATTTTTTAATGAAGGATCAGACATGTCCTCTGAAAATGTGAATTAACTCATGAAAAAATAAAATTTATATGGCTATATTTAAGAAGTCCAGAGTATAGCGGTTTACCCAATGAGCTGCTAAACATAAAGTCAGCAGTTCGAATGTACCAGCTGCTCTGTGGGAGAAAGGTTCTTCCTCCATAAAGATTTACAGCCTCAAAAACCCTTTACAGGTTTGCTATGAGTCAAAGCCAACTCCATGGTATACTAATACTGCCACCACAGCTATTTTACTTACTAAATGGAAATGAAAATGAGTATTCTGGACTTGGAACACACTGTTCAGGCATCAATTTCATGATCCCTAAATCTGAAGACAAAATGGAAAGAATGACTTTGAAATGTGTGAACAAGATTATTTTAAGACTCATTCATGGCTACACATTAGCCATCTTAACACAATAAATCTAGTGATAACATGTCTCCAGTTCCCCTGTGATAAATGGTGAGCTACAGGGTCACAGCTGAAAATATAAATACATGTGGTCTTTTCTATCAAGGCAAAACCAAGGCTTGCCAAAATCAAGCTACAAGCCCTTTATTTTGTAACAACCAGCAGCATTATGCTTATCCCAGCACTATTTACTGAATGGTTGTGTCCTTGGCAGTGTGATAGGTACAATATAAGTACTCTTCGCTACTTTTGAGTTTTTAAATTAAAGTATAAGTGAAATCCAATAAACTGCATGTATTTAAACAATTTGTCAAATTTTGTCATCCATGGTAACAATTACCACAAATCAGGATAACAAACATATATACCAATATATCTGTTATCCCCAATATTCTCCTGCCCTTTTGTAAGCCCTCCCAAATCTGCCAATAATTGCTCAACCAGTCAACAAAAAAGCCAGATTTAAAACCATGTTCCAGTCAAAATCCAGAGCAGTTGTTAATTAAAATACTATAATGTCTTCTTGATCAATATATGTAACAAACTCAAAAAGGATATCATATCTAGAGAACTTTGTTTCCTGATATTAAGTGCTGTCAACTTGGTTCTGACTCATAGTGACCTCGTAGAGGGTTCCCAAGGAGTGGATGGTGAGCTTGAACCACCGATCATAAGGTTCAAACCAACTTTGCAGTCCAGGCTTACCCTAAAGTGCCACATCAGGATTGATAGAGAAGTGATATTAGTTGATCAACTTATATTCAATTAATATCACGCTTTCTTAATTGAGATTTC